AGGGTGGAACCGGAAAATGGACGTTGAGGTTAGGGAGCCCGTGTGTTGACCACTCGTCTTTCAACGCTTGGGAAAATGAAATGGTTAAAGGCTACCTCATGTTACCCGAAAATCATTCATAAATCACGTTTATGAAATTCATATATGTTGTTGTCAGGACAAGTTCATTTGTTTACATCATGGCTTCACCGGAGCAAGCACGTCGCGTTTCGATCCTGCACGCTCGAAACGAAAATCGCGATCCATCCGCTCCTGGCAGTTTTCGATCAAATTCCTGGGCAGGAATTTTATACTTCGGTTGACCGGAAGGGTGCCCCGAAAGAATATAAAATCAAAAAGGAGACGACATTCACCAAAAAGTTCCTTGTCTGGCAAGCAATTTGCAGTTGTACGCTGAAATGCGAAACTTTTGTTACTTCTGGGCCATGAACCAGTAAATTTACCAGGAGGAGTGCCTACGGCAGAGACTACTGCCGTTTCTGAAGCACACACTACAAAAAAGACATGTAAATTTCAGTGCCCTAAGACCGACACATGCAAGCGGCCCTTTTGACATAAGAATCAGTTGAAAAGGACGAGAAAATCAATTCAATCAATTCAATCAATTCAGTTTCAGGTCACTTAATTTTACATGCCATGTTTGTTTACGTTCCATGATTTACGTCAAAGCTGAATTACGTCTCGTGTAAAAATAATAATTTCTAAGTGTGCAGCATGAGGTAAAATGCCTATTCTTACAGGACTTGGCAAGCTGCCACTACTCAAATTCCACCAAACAGTGGTATAGCGAAAATGACGTCACAGTGGTTCCCAAGGAGATGATTCCGGCCAATACTCCGGATCTAAGGCCAATTGAAGAATACTGGCTGGTAAATGGCTGGACAATGCGTACAATTGATACATAGACTCCAACATGCTCCTTACACAGCAAAAAAATAATTTTGATAACACGTCAAAGTGGATGCACTACAATCATGTCGAAAATATGGTGTAATATTACTTGCTAAAAAGGACAAAATTATCATTCATACAATACATGAACTGACATTACGCTGCTTTTACTGCATTTGTTTATTTATGTGGTCATAAAAATTACATGAAATTTTTGACATGATTGTAGTGCATCCACTTTGATGTGATATCAAAATTATTTTTTTGCTGTGTAGCCTATTGTCCAGTAACTCCTATCCCTACCTTCCCGCGGTGCCGACTGGGGTAAGAGTAACCATAGGAAAGATCGAGTAACCAACCCCGATGGGACCTTAGCCGTATGGTGACAAGAAAGGGGGGAGGGGGTTTCTCCCTTCGGAGGGTGTAACCTAACCGAGCGTCTGTTCTCCATGTTAGTAGATCACCGCCCTAGTGCCAGCTTGGGACTCTAAATAGAGCTGTGCACGATGGGTCTCCGGCAAGACAGGCGGTTGGTGCAGGCCCTACAAGCCAACCGTAAAACTCAAAAAGTACAGAAAGCTAACAATGTAAATACGGACCGGAAAAATCGGCATAGACCCAGGCAACTAATACGGACTAAGTGATTTGTATATTTTCTACAAGTCTGAAAATACAAAACATTAAGTTCCAGTTGTAGTGAAAGACAAATACCGATTCGACAAAAAAAATATTGTTAATTAAATATCGTTTCTGTCACCATGTGACAAGGGTAATTAAATGAAAAGAAATGGAAACTAATTCCCCTTCCAACGAAAAATCAGAACACATGACTATCAGAAGTCCATTGAAAAGATTACAAGCCCATTCAAAGATAATACAATCATATTTTATTTAGTGAAAAATACGTTTTGGTTTTGATGCTCATTGATTGAATTCAAGTTGCTCGAAAGGAAGAAACGATTATTTATCAGAATGAATACATATACGAAATAATATAAAATATATTTTCCTTATTTGAAAAATCGGTATATTTTTCAAAAATCTGTAATCTGTATATACTGCCGGTAATCGCAAGTCAGTTTATCTTTTTATGTTTTTTTAGATGTGCTATTGAAACAAACAATACCAAGTCAAATTGTCCCACGGCGAAAAGTAACCGCAAGTCAGTCCCATTAGAAAAACATATGTTAGGAATGTTAGACAACACTGTAGTGTACCATAAAAGTAACCGTAATCATTTCTCACCATAAACACCAAACCATTTGTTACCATTTCAAATAATTTACCATGACCGACGTTTCTCGTAAGGGTAGCATGTTGCATTTCAAAAAGTAGTTCGATGTTTTCCGTAAGGCAAACATCTCATAAATTTCCTCATTGCGATGTGACAATTATTATTTTCAGTTACATCGAAACCACTTCAGTTAACGTTTCCTCAAAACATGTTTTCCAGGTCAAACCCAAAACGATTCCACGCATCCGCGTTGTGGATCAAATTCCAAACCTTTTCAAACATCCTTTCCAAAACGACCGCGTGTTTAACAACACCAGCTACATGAAATTAAACACCACCGCTCAACAACGCGTGAGGCAAATGTTGACCGGCAGTGACATACTTCTTGATGCATAGTGTTTGTTAAGTGCGTTTACATATTTGGCGACGCCCGTTCTTAAGTATAGTCTTTTTTATCCAATAAGACAGTCCAGGCTCCACCCATAGGAAAACTCTGTAAGTTAGTTGGTAAGATTTCCATTTCAATAAAATCAATCTCAAATTGGAAGTTGTCGAGTATACTTCAATCCGAAAACCTAGATTGCGTCCGGTAGACACCTCAACACATCGCAGCGTGAGATTTGTTTCAAGACTAGGGTTGGCAATATCGGAGGTTTATTTCTTAAACCGGTTTTCCGGTAATGAAAAATCTAATACCGGTAAAACCAGTATGAGGAGGAACTACAAAAAAACTGCATTTCAGAAAAAAAAAGTGTTGATTGGTTAACTGCCACTCTACGCATGTCGGTCCCATAGTCATTTTTGGTAAAACTGAGTTTTTCAATGCATAAGGTAGCTAACCACCGACAAACCGACATGACACTTAATTCTGACTTATGCCCGAAAATCGTAAACGGTCGTTTTTAATGGTCAGTGATCCGAACTGTCAAAACCATAGGATGTTTTGATCTAGATAAAAATAATTTGTCCAGAATAGATCATAGCTTTTGCATGTGGGTTCATGGTTTTGCTAAATATTCCCCGCGAACACGGAACCAGGTATCAGTAGTGTGCTTTGGTCAGAAATTTTATTGTTTTTGCTATGGCCGTTCATGTCGGGTTGTCGGTGAGCTGACTACCTATAAAGAAAAGTTTGAAAAGACAGTCACATTGGTTGTCCTATCACAATGCAATGGTACGAAGCAAACTAAAAACGCGATTTTCTCGGCTTGCCAATTTTCACTATGGGACGGACACGCGAAGAGCGACAGTAAATGATTCAGTTAGAAATGCGCTCTTCAAAGCTAGGCTTGTTCGTTAAGGTAACATTTAGAACGCAAAGAGCGTTTATCGTACACTTTGACGTTTCTATATATTATGTTTAGCTTGCATGCAACATTGTTAGTGACTTAGCGAACACGCTTGTTTTTCGCGAGAAGCTCGAGAGAAGTCATTACTTAAGTCCTATTTATTGGGGTACAATGTTTTCAATAAAAACTTATTCAAAGCGTTACGTCTGTTTGTCTGTGGCTTTACAAATTGTTCCTTCACGGTCAAACTATCGTTCTCTACATCAGCTGTATCATCCAGTTGATTCAGTTCTTCTCTTCGCTCGGTTTCTACATGCATTCAGTTGCCTTTCAAATCAATCAAACGACGAAGAATTTCCAGCGAATGCTTTATCAAAGTAGACCGCGATGTCTTGAAGAATACTCCAAAGTAATTTGTCATTGTACCGTGCCGATTCAAATTTCGGACACTTAAACTCGAATTTCGGACACTTTTAAAAGTTGATTATCTCGGTCGAATATGATCCACATGTCTTGTAAATTTTAAATTTTTTTGACTAGTGCCCTCCACGATCATCTAACATTATTACTTTGTTTCTAACTGGATGTAATATTTAATTAAAAATGAAAGTGTCCGAAATTTGAATCGGAACGGTATGTAAATTATATTGTTCTTTTGTTTTTTTTTTGTTTTTAATATTACAAACATTCATTTATTTACACTTCAATCACTATGGAAAACGTGTTAAAACAATGTTTTCATGCTGGAAAAATCCAACTAAAATTCCGAAAATACCGGTTTATTATCGTACAAAAACCGGTATTTCGGTATTTTAAAATAGCACGATAATACCGGTAAAACCGGTTTCGGTAAAACCGGTTAATCAACGCTACTCAACACCAATTTTGTCCACTTCCCGAACAAGTCCGGATGTGGCTAATATAGTTCTTACGATACACAGTTTGACTGTTTCTCATGTGATTTGATGTATCGCTTGATGGATTTTGATTTAAAAAGGAATTACCGCTTCCCCGGAGATACCCGGAACATGACTCTTATTGATCTTTTTTTGAATTCTCGTGTTAATTGATTCATCGCATGGTGGGTTTGGCACGTTTATGAAAAGCTCTGGTCTGATGAACCCATACTCACCGGAGTATATTTCGGCCATTGCTCTGGAACCAGCGGAACAAATCTAGAAACATTCAATAACGTTCTATGGGAACATGATATCTTTCTACTGTCCAATACTGTTCTAAACTAATGCAGCATCGTCATGGAATTGTGACTGACTTGCGGTTATTTTTCTCATTGACGTTAAATGTAATCGCAAGTCAATCCCACTCAGATGTTGGCCATAAAATAAAAATTTCAAGATATTTCTTTAATATTTCTTGGTAAACATAGATGCATTCTATCACATTGTACGTTTATTTTTATATGTATCACTCCAAAATAGGTGTCAAATCAGAAAACTTGGAAACCTTTGAACCTTAACAGATGGGACGGACTTGCGATTATGGGCAGTATAATACAGTGTATCTAAAAATTGATTTTCACAAAGGAGGCTGACAAAATCAGTTCATTACTGTATCTCGAAACTTACCTCCATCGTATCGCAGATGCTCTGGACGTGACTGGCGGTGTGCGACGATTGTGGCCCAAAGATGGCCGCCACTCCAACTCGCAACAGATGGCACACTGTAGAACAGAAACATGAAAAAAAACCAGTCACCAATTAAACCGTGCTGCTCATCTGTGTGTGTGGATAATAATTGGATTTCGTCGCGCTGTTCTCACCTCGCTTCGACGCCAGGAAGCTGTCCTGGGGCGATATTCGTTCGATCTGCGCCAGCAGTTTGGACCGCGGTAGGATCGTCCGATCCGAGTTGATTTTCTCGACCGCATAGCGGAACGCAATCTCTTGATGGTCGTCGTCCGGATGGAAGAGGCCACCTGCCAGGAAATAAAAGGTGATGAAACGAATGAGATGCTTTGCGTAACGAGACATTTACATTTTTTTTTTAGTTTGGGTGGATGTCCCCAATCACGGTACAGGTGAAAATGGAACATCCATCCCAACCCAACCCAACCCAACACGCAGTTTGCTTCATTTTGAGTGGCGACAACAGGGGGCATGGAAAAAAAGGTGAGTGTATAATGGAATTTATGCAAATTATTCTTACGTTACGCTTCGAGCAGGGTCTATTGAACCGTGAGGACATCCGGGGAGCGAGGCGATAATGGAACCATTCTTCGAATGGGATCCAATTACAGACGGGTGGGGCGGTGAGTGACCGTTGACAATCGATCGAATTGACAGATGTGGCTTACAAATGGAAGTATAATTGCGTGGGATCAGTGGACGACTGTTTGATTTGTAGGAGTAATTCCTAGAGCATCAGCAAAGTCACATTCAATCAACAAGTTCGCTGTGTGTGTGCAGACTAGAACGGAAGAGGAAAGCACAATCGAACCACAGGACTGCTACCCTGCTGATGCCGCTTTGACAGCTCCGGCAAGATTAAATGAACTTGATCCATATCGCGCAACGTTGCGTTCAATTATGACAATTTTCTCAAAAACGTTTACAATTTACACGCAGAATTCATCAATCCGAGTAGCTGAAAAGTCAAAATAGAATCAATCAATTCGACAAAATTTCATTGAAGTTTCCGTTTTCCGACACACCATTCTCCGACCAACAAAATCCAAAGTATCAAATCATGACATCTATATGGCCCGTCGCACAATACGCTCTTCAGGGACCGATTCCGTGATATTTGTTTCCTCTTCGTCGTTGTTGTTGTTGTTGGCACACACACTCACAGCCACACCCTCACAGCGGAGAAACAGAACGACAAGCAAACCGCCTCAGATGCCCAGATGATTGGTCTACTTAATGGATTTCCCTGATTATCATGCTAATTTATGTCTCCAAGGTTGATTGGTCTCCGATCGCGACGGTCGGAGTGGAATCGGATCCCGGTGTATTCATCGCATTCAATTCCCTCCTCGGGGGGAGCATCCGAAGGGGCTTATTGTGCTGTCGATTGTCGATTGAATTATTCCTTCTTCGATTTTCGGGCCATTCTCCCAAGTTTTGATTCCACGAGGAAGAAAATTGGGCTTTCATGAAACGCGTATCAATACCCCCCATTCGAGGAGGGGCCGGGGGAAGGGGCTCGTGAGTTCCGGGGAAGATTGGATTGTGAAAAATGTTGTCAATTTGATACTTTTGAAAAGCGATGCTATCGATTATCGATGTGGAATTGGCGAAAGAAAACTGTCTCAATTATCTGAAAGAACACTGTGAGAAACAAGGCTGCAGTTGAAAATAGACGTTTTATTTTTTCCTGCATACTGTTTCTCCTCTTACTTAACGTTTTCCACTAAAGTGCTTTTAATAGTGTGTGGAACCTGAGTTCCAAATTGTTCCACAATGAATTCCAGTTTGATGGCCGAGCGGAACGAGCTACTGTAAATTGGCTACCGTGACAGATGGACAAGTTTTCAAAGGAGAGCACGCAAGCTGCAGTGCTCAATAACCAATTTCTCGCTTCTGGATCGCCACTAAAATCGAATTTCAAGAATGGTCAATCAACGAACGTCAGACGTGAAGTAGGGGTATTTCAAATAAATTCTAAAAGAGCCTGGACCAGTTCATGTTGATCCCCGTGGACCGTCTGATACTATAAGAAGAAGGTTGATTTGAGGACTGTAAACGAAAACACTAAGAGGCAGCTTGTTGCAAGTCCACTTGATTGCTTCGGTAAGATCTTTCCTTTTTATCTATTTATACTTCCTATCCATTAGAGTTTAAGGTACGTTATTATCAGCTTATTAGTTTACCAAAACGATCCCTGCTGCAAACCTTTCCCCGCATCCAACATCCCAGTGATTTATTTATTTATTTCTCGTGGAAGCGCAGAAGAATTCTCGGTTTCCGTTACAGCGAGTATCACGTCAACACATTTCTTCCAATTCCCTATTTGACCTGCATTCGGACACGGCCCGCGCTGGAATTGCTAAATATTAGATCTCCAATTTATACACCTATTCTGTTGGTTCTCTGTGTAAAGAGTGTCCCACATCAAATTGCATCACGGAAAAAAACGCTGTAGAAAATTACCTAGTTGACCGATCCTTTTCAAACTTTCAGGCAATAAAATATAACCCATTAGTAAGCTTTTGGTAACTCTGGTCTCTCTTCAATTGTCGAATAGTAAGCTTTTGGCATATTTATTTCATTCAACTTCAAAACTATAATCTTTCGCTCTCACCTATCACTAAACTCCACTCCCACTCATTAGTTTCTGTACAACATCTGGCTGCAGTTTCTTCTGTACGGAAACCCACTTTTTCTTAATGTCTTCCTCAGATTTGACCTCCTTGGGATGCCTGTTTCATAATAGCCCAGTATTTTTCGATGGGCCTTAGTTCCTGTGCGTTGGGGGGGTTCATGTCCTTGGGTACGAAAGTGACCCCGTTGGCTTCGTACCACTCCAGGACAACATTTGAATAGTGGCACGAAGCAAGATCCGGCCAGAAGATAGTAGGGCCCTCGTGTTGCTCCGACTGAGGAAGCAGAAGCTTCTGTAGACACTCCTTGAGGTAGATCTCCCCGTTTACAGTCCCGGTAGTTACGAACGGCACACTCCGTTTGCCACATGAGCAGATCGCTTGCCAAATCATGTATTTCTTGGCAAACTTTGAAAGTTTCTACTTCCTTACTTCCTCCGGAACATCCCTTCACTTGTGCTGGGCGGTGAAGAGCAGTAGCCCCGGAAGCTGCCGGAAGTCCACCTTGACGTAAGTCTCATCATCCATGATGAGACAATGAGGCTTCGTCAGCATCTGGGTGTACAGTTTCCGGGCCCATGACTTTCCCACTATATTTTGCCGCTCGTCGCGATTTGGAGCCTTCTGCACTGTGTACGTATGCAGTCCCTCCCGGTCCTTGGCTCTCTGAACGAAAGACTTGGACAGATTCCACTTTTTAGACACATCCCTGACCGAAGCATTGGGATTCCGCTTAAACGCTTTCACGACACGCTTTTGATCCTAATCACTAATAGAACATCCATTCTGACCGCATTTCTCCTTCCGTTCGATGCTCAGAGTTTCTTAGTAACGTTTAATCACACGACTCACCGTTGACTGCACGATTTCGAGTTGTTTTCCGATGTCCCGATGAGAGAGTTGAGGATTTTCCAGGTGTTTGCGGCGTTGCTTTTCGGGTGACGCCATTTTTTTCAACTTTCGAAAAACTGACAGCGATAAAAATACAGTGTAAACAATACACTCTAAACTACTTCTACCCAAATTTTCAAGTGAAAATACCCAATGGGTAATTTTCTACAGTATTTTTTCCGTGATGCAATTTAATGTGGGACACCCTTTAATCATTTAATCGTAGCTGATCTGGCAATATCAGAGCAGCAACCGTGGGCCGTCAGTCATACTCCTGCTCATGCTCATTGGGAATGGAATACCGAAATGTGCAGGGGTAGGGTAGAGCGCTACTTCGTCGTTGACGCCCATTTCCGTTCTATCGATCAAAAAAGATCAATAATATCAATGATTTCATCGTGCACAAATCAATAATAGGTTTGTTCCGATGAGTTAGTTCAATAGCTGCAACATAAATCCTGTTAGAGTGCATTGTATGAATATTTATGCCCATTTTTTTTTTTAAACTAAAGAATCGCTCCTAGCGAATCCCCTTTTTCTACGTTTATCCGTAGGACGAAGAAAATCTAATGGCGTTTCAATGCTTTAGGACGGAATTGAAACTCGTTGAACGAATTTAGAATCAAGTAGCAGTATTAGATTCTAAACAGTATCTCAACAATGTGTGACTCTTTATTAAATCCAACGGTACGTATAGAAAGGCGAATAAATGTTAAAGTCATCTTTGACAGAAATGTTCCATTTTTTGTTTAAACTCGTTCAGAAAAGAGAGGTAAAGCACGGGTTGTGCTTAGTAGGACGGAAATTAGATCAAAAACCCTAGATAGGTATTCTTTGATCAAATTTTACATGCAAAATGGTCATTTACAGCATTTTGTCAATTGGCCTTATACCAATGCACTGTGGTCCTAAACGGCAATTTAGCAGGAAAAACATATTTACTCTATTGCTATTCGATTTAAAGGGTTAGTGTCTTCGGAGAAGTTGCTTATATTGAAATGGGCCTCCTTTTCGAAAAAAAAATATAATAAGGGTGGTCCTCATTTTATCTTTAATCAGAAATCTAACTGTTTTGTTTGAAGTTATACGTAGTTTCATTCTACAGCAAAGTTGAAAGAAAATATTTCAAGCAATTTTGCTGAAGATAGAATTTTCTAGCTCTTCAACTGCGCATACTAGATCTATTTTTCTGCTTTAAGTTAGGGTGTTATCAAGACTGAAGTTTATGAAGCATGGCTCCACGAACTTTTTACTGTTCGTACATCGTGATCGTGCCGGATTTCCAGTCATTTCTGTTCAAGCAAGTGATCGACTCTCGATTTCGAACTATGATCTGTGCGATATGTTTGAATATTATGCATTCGAAGAGTTGTACACTTTTCTCATTTAATTCATATTACAGGGTGTCCCACATCAAATTGCATCACGGAAAAACAACGCTGTAGAAAATTACCCATTGGGTATTTTCTCTTGAAAATTTGGGTAGAAGTAGTTTAGA